CTGTCACCCGCAGCAGCAGCACTAGAGGGCAACGTGGGCAAGCCTCCTCTCCCAGCCTCTCCCAGCCAGAAGACCTTCCCGGGCAGGAAGGCCGCACAGGGCTGTGGCGCTGGGAGCCTGGACTGGATGGAGGGGCGAACATGCTCCAGGGCAAGCTCCCGGAGGATTTGGGAGCGGGAAGGAGAGGGCAGAGGTATGCCGCCAACAGCCCAGAGACATTCAGGAGCAGACAGGGCAGTGTCAGCACCTGCACCCTGAGGTCCCAGGCACGGCACCGCTCCGGCGCTACGGAATGCTACATACGGCGGTGTTTAGCTCTCTCCGAAACGGTTGAAGGCTGAACAAATGTTAGCACACCTCCCTGTCTGTGGTGGTTAACCTCGAAAGCCATATCTTTCTGAAGCACATCTAGATACACAACTGGCTAACTATATTCAGCACCAATTTGGTTGAGTCAAAGCATTTTCATAACATCAGCATGAACCTCAGCCACCAGGAGCTGTGGCAGAAGAACCAAAAACCCTCCCGAGGAGAGATTTCTCCCATCAACACTCCCCATCTTTCCACACCTCTTGAACCCACCCTTTCACTTTCATGAAGTGACTTCAAGTGACCAGCCCTCACCCTGACACACAGGGGGCACGGTGCAAACCCACAAATACAACAGGAGGAGGAAAAGCGCTTGCGCTCCGCTCGTGTAGCCACCAACCAGACCCTTGGGCCCAGCACCGCCTACCTCGAGGCACTGCAAGAAACCTCCTCCCTCTCCCCTTGCTGCACACCTCGGGGTAACCCAACACAAAGCGAAGAGCCAAGTCAGGCTAGCAGAGGCGGCACTCACCCGACTCCACGTTCCCCAGCATGGCTGGAGAAGACATAGTGAGAGACGCCTTGTGGTTCGGGGGAATCCCAGGACTCTGCAAAGGAGGCTTTGGAGACGAAGTCCATCCAGGAGAAGGTGCAGGGAGAGACGGAGACTTGAGGTGGACAGGAGAAGCAGCAGCAGACCCCAAGACAGGGGGGGACTTAATGGAGGCA